ACCCCATAGGAGAGCGCTGTTATCCAGGACTTGAATCCTTATCTTTTATTTTGGTGCATTTTGAAGTGCGATGTTGGAATGCGCATTCTGTAGTGCAGAAGGCAGATGCGTCGCATTATTTAGATGTTCGACATGCCGGGGAAGCGAGGACTCCTCGGACATTCGTGTACAATGAGGTCTTCTATCCAAACTTCTGCGCATTCACCTTTAGTAAATCAGGCCTTCAGTCTGAGCTCAGTGTCTGTATGTCGTTCAGCAGTAATCTCCTCCCCTGCAGAGACATTATCTGGTCTATACACCAATCAGGAGAGCTGTAATGAAAAGGTGAAATAAAGAGAACCTCCCTTGACCATTGTGTGACATGTTTGTCCTCTCCAGCAGGTAGAAGAGCAAGATGAGGTCTCTGGTGGCCGCATTATCTCTGGTCCTCCTATCTGCAGTATACTGCAAGCATGGCTGCCTGAAGGGGACTCATCACAAGGCGGCCCCGGGCCCTGAGACTGGCATGCAGGCCTGTCACCTCTACGCCAACTGTAAGTAGAGTTTGGGAAGGAATAATGATCAGACAGAAATGTCCAATGTTGGGGCTCTGACTTATAAAGAAGAGATGAGGTCACCCAGGGGGAGGTGAGGCTGTAGTGCGGCAGGCTTTACTGTTTACCCGGAGTTCCATTATAGAGAAAAGGAAAGTGTAGATCACGCTGCTCTTCCTCAGCTCCTCCCCCAAAGAGCTGATCGCAGGGTGACACCCCTGCAGAGCCAATCTATGATGTGTGTCCAGATGAGCGCCAACAGAAAACACCACGAGAAACTATTCCAGCAGGAAGTGTACCCCATGAAACCACAGAACCGGATACATATTCATTTCAGCTGATAGCGGATTCTGTTTAGAGGCTTTTCTTTCATTTATCACTGGCGCAAGGTTCTCCTTAAAGGGTCCGTCCACCCAAAAGTGACATTTCAGCGTTCAGTGGATGCTGAGAGTCTCCTGGCAGTTTCTTCCATCCATGGAACATTCTGGGGACGAGTTCCGGTGTCTTCTCTCCCATGGTTGGATTCTTGTTATATAATTTAATATAGGGGGAGAGAGAAGACACAAAGGTGAGCGGGAATAGGGCCAGGAGCTATGGGGGAGGCCTTGTCAATGGATCCATCAGAATGGTGAATCAATTCAACCACCCACATGTAAGGCTTGGTTCACACCTAGGCATATCGAATATGCGCGTTTGCCGCGCGTTTCGTGACGCACGTTTTTAACCGCGATTCACGGTAAAAAAATGCGCGACAAACGCGTGTTTCCGAGGGCTACCTGGCTGTATCCCAATGGATATGCGCGGCAAATACGCCCCAAAGAAGCTCCCGTACCTCCTTGGGCGTAGGGCGTTTTGCAGCGCGTTCCTACGGCCTGTAATACGCCCGGGTGTGAACCAGGCCTAAGTGACAGACCACTTGTGGGGGGATTGACCCTTTAACCTGCTGGTCGGGGATGTGGGGAGTCTCATGTCACTGTGCAGTTAGTGGGGTACAATTGGTTACCACGGTTACACTATAATAAAGACTTTGCTTATTTTCCCAAGTTGAAGGGTGAATGTCCCTAAATATGACTCCCGTGCTGCGCCCCTACCCCCGACCCTCAGCTCTCCGCAGTACAAATACACTTTCCTTGTACACCATCTGCACCAATAGAAACGTGACACAATCCTAATAAGATACAAAATGATTTATATGGAGGGAAAAAAATCTCATCAAGTTCACATGTCAGAAATCGTTTTATAAAACACAAAACTCCCCGAGAAACCCCCGGGAAGATCCGCCATGAATAAACCAGCCAATGGATGCTGAGCTGTGTGACCCGGGGTCATAGGTCAGAAAATAAAACCCCCAGAAGCACAAGGACATATCATGGAAAGTTGTTTGATCCCCTAATCCTGTCATTGTATCAAATGGATCACATCCAATACATAGGAGATCATTACAAGTAAGATACATTCTTATCACGTGGGGACAAATCATGACACCGCTCACATGTCAGGAATATAAGTGTGCAGAAATAATATATCACCCAAGACATTGTGACAATATGGAGTATTTTTTAAAGGGGTGTCAGGGTGGTACATACTCCATGTGTATCGGGTCCGCTCGCCGCTACACCGGAGTGATCACCGATTTATAGTGATTGAGCTGCACATGAATTATTGTCCTCTCGTATCTGCCCGGCACTGTGTATGGTGACAATCTTTTCTCTCTCCTCCTGCAGCCTCGTGCTGTCATTCCAACTTCACCGAGAAGATTTCCCCATCTCCACTGATACAGATCGATCATTTCTACTGGAACAGATGTGGGAACCTCAGCAAGCTGTGAGTATGGAACAGATATCAGTGGTGTAGCACAGATAGGGGGTACGTTGTGTCAGTGGTGTAGCACAGATATGGGATACGTTGTGTCAGTGGTGTAGCACAGATAGGGCGTACGTTGTATCAGTGGTGTAGCACAGATAGGGGGTACGTTGTGTCAGTGGTGTAGCACAGATATGGGATACGTTGTGTCAGTGGTGTAGCACAGATAGGGCGTACGTTGTATCAGTGGTGTAGCACAGATAGGGGGTACGTTGTGTCAGTGGTGTAGCACAGATATGGGATACGTTGTGTCAGTGGTGTAGCACAGATAGGGCGTACGTTGTATCAGTGGTGTAGCACAGATAGGGGGTACGTTGTGTCAGTGGTGTAGCACAGATATGGGATACGTTGTGTCAGTGGTGTAGCACAGATAGGGCGTACGTTGTATCAGTGGTGTAGCACAGATAGGGGGTACGTTGTGTCAGTGGTGTAGCACAGATATGGGATACGTTGTGTCAGTGGTGTAGCACAGATAGGGCGTACGTTGTATCAGTGGTGTAGCACAGATAGGGGGTACGTTGTGTCAGTGGTGTAGCACAGATATGGGATACGTTGTGTCAGTGGTGTAGCACAGATAGGGCGTACGTTGTATCAGTGGTGTAGCACAGATAGGGGGTACGTTGTGTCAGTGGTGTAGCACAGATATGGGATACGTTGTGTCAGTGGTGTAGCACAGATAGGGCGTACGTTGTATCAGTGGTGTAGCACAGATAGGGGGTACGTTGTGTCAGTGGTGTAGCACAGATATGGGATACGTTGTGTCAGTGGTGTAGCACAGATAGGGCGTACGTTGTATCAGTGGTGTAGCACAGATAGGGGGTACGTTGTGTCAGTGGTGTAGCACAGATATGGGATACGTTGTGTCAGTGGTGTAGCACAGATAGGGCGTACGTTGTATCAGTGGTGTAGCACAGATAGGGGGTACGTTGTGTCAGTGGTGTAGCACAGATATGGGATACGTTGTGTCAGTGGTGTAGCACAGATAGGGCGTACGTTGTATCAGTGGTGTAGCACAGATAGGGGGTACGTTGTGTCAGTGGTGTAGCACAGATATGGGATACGTTGTGTCAGTGGTGTAGCACAGATAGGGCGTACGTTGTATCAGTGGTGTAGCACAGATAGGGGGTACGTTGTGTCAGTGGTGTAGCACAGATATGGGATACGTTGTGTCAGTGGTGTAGCACAGATAGGGCGTACGTTGTATCAGTGGTGTAGCACAGATAGGGGGTACGTTGTGTCAGTGGTGTAGCACAGATATGGGATACGTTGTGTCAGTGGTGTAGCACAGATAGGGCGTACGTTGTATCAGTGGTGTAGCACAGATAGGGGGTACGTTGTGTCAGTGGTGTAGCACAGATATGGGATACGTTGTGTCAGTGGTGTAGCACAGATAGGGCGTACGTTGTATCAGTGGTGTAGCACAGATAGGGGGTACGTTGTGTCAGTGGTGTAGCACAGATATGGGATACGTTGTGTCAGTGGTGTAGCACAGATAGGGCGTACGTTGTATCAGTGGTGTAGCACAGATAGGGGGTACGTTGTGTCAGTGGTGTAGCACAGATATGGGATACGTTGTGTCAGTGGTGTAGCACAGATAGGGCGTACGTTGTATCAGTGGTGTAGCACAGATAGGGGGTACGTTGTGTCAGTGGTGTAGCACAGATATGGGATACGTTGTGTCAGTGGTGTAGCACAGATAGGGCGTACGTTGTATCAGTGGTGTAGCACAGATAGGGGGTACGTTGTGTCAGTGGTGTAGCACAGATATGGGATACGTTGTGTCAGTGGTGTAGCACAGATAGGGCGTACGTTGTATCAGTGGTGTAGCACAGATAGGGGGTACGTTGTGTCAGTGGTGTAGCACAGATATGGGATACGTTGTGTCAGTGGTGTAGCACAGATAGGGCGTACGTTGTATCAGTGGTGTAGCACAGATAGGGGGTACGTTGTGTCAGTGGTGTAGCACAGATATGGGATACGTTGTGTCAGTGGTGTAGCACAGATAGGGCGTACGTTGTATCAGTGGTGTAGCACAGATAGGGGGTACGTTGTGTCAGTGGTGTAGCACAGATATGGGATACGTTGTGTCAGTGGTGTAGCACAGATAGGGCGTACGTTGTATCAGTGGTGTAGCACAGATAGGGGGTACGTTGTGTCAGTGGTGTAGCACAGATATGGGATACGTTGTGTCAGTGGTGTAGCACAGATAGGGCGTACGTTGTATCAGTGGTGTAGCACAGATAGGGGGTACGTTGTATCAGTGGTGTAGCACATATAGGGCGTACGTTGTATCAGTGGTGTAGCACAGATAGGGGGTACGTTGTGTCAGTGGTGTAGCACAGATAGGGCGTACGTTGTATCAGTGGTGTAGCACAGATAGGGGATACTTTGTATCAGTGGTGTAGCACACATATGGGGTACGTTGTATCAGTGGTGTAGCACAGATAGGGGGTACGTTGTATCAGTGGTGTAGCACAGATAGGGGGTACGTTGTATCAGTGGTGTAGCACAGATAGGGGGTACGTTGTATCAGTGGTGTAGCACAGATAGGGGATACGTTGTATCAGTGGTGTAGCACAGATAGGGGATACGTTGTATCAGTGGTGTAGCACAGATAGGGGGTACGTTGTATCTGTGGTGTAGCACAGATAGGGGGTACGTTGTATCAGTGGTGTAGCACAGATAGGGGGTACGTTGGGATACATTGTCTGTAGACAGGTTCACTTTATTGATGACGGAGGCCTGTGATTGGTCCGTTCCGGGTTAGGACTCTTCTGGACGGTTTTTGGCCTTTGCTCTCTCCTCGGGATTGTGTTTGCTGTGCGGGGCCGGTGACCCCGGGGCTGGACTCTGGACTGTGCTGCAAGCTCCGATTGAAGCTTCTGTCCTCCTCTGTTCCTGTCTGTACGACAACAAACCATTGATTGCGCCATATTCCCTCCCTTCCACAGAGACAGAGCGCACCCATCTCCTCTCCCCGCACAGCAAATACCCCCCCCCCATAGCCC